AATGGTGAAAATTCTAAGAGGTGTGGATTCTAAAAACTTTGTTAAATTTGTTCTCCATTGTTGTTTTGTTGGTTGTTGTGAAGGATTATTCATGATAAAGAAATTCCATCTTTGCTTTTTCTCCCAATTTTTTATGAGATTTTGAATTGATATTTCAACACTTTGGATTTGTGTAGAATTTGATTGTTGAATTTCTTGAGTGTTCATTGATGATTTTTTTTTTTGTTTAGTTGTTGTGTATTTGATAATCGAAAATTTTCAATTTAATAATAAGAGTCGTTTGTAAGAGGCACGTGAAATGCAAGGCTTCAGATTTTTCATGCAAGCTTTGCTTTGGAGTCACGTTGTTAGTTTTAGCTACTTCTTAGGGTGTATTTGGTTAAAAAAAAATATTGTATGTCATTCATTTAATCTTGTTTGTTTTTTTCTCTGTGCATTGGACTAATATTTTTTTTTAGAGAAAGTATTTTTTAGAAAAAAAATTAAACCAAACATGGAATTGTTTTTGTTTTCTCCAAGCCAAACACACCCTTGATTTGGTTTCTTCTTTTCAGTTGGAAATGCGTCAAGGATCGTAAAGCTGCCAAAGTTGTTTCATACTTATATTACTTAATTAGTGTAAGAAAAGTTGGTGCCAAAATTAAAAGGAACAGTTAAATGTGATGTCATAGATAGGTTTTTGGCATCCTAATACATAACTAAAAATTCACTTTTTCATATCTAATACTATCGTTTACAAAATTAAACGACGTCTCCCTTGATTATGTTGAGTTCCCAGATCGATAGAAATTTGGAATTTGTCACTATAATGGTGTTTCATAACTGTTGATGTTTGACTTGATAAACATCTATGATGTACTCAGATTTATTAGGATTATTGTGACAGTGGCGGTTGGAAGTGTCAATTGATACCCTGATGTTGAGTTCCCACATCGATAGTTAGGATGTGAATATTAGGGTTTGTTACAATCATGTCATCTCATATTGGGCTTGTTCAGTCAGAATTGGATATTGGAAAGTTGATGGGCTTGGCCCAAAAAGATTTTGGCAACAGCAAGCCTTACCATTTCATGAAGATGAAAAATTGACATGACAAGTTGTAGCATAGCAAAACAACACGATATATATCAAAATATAAATTCATAACTAGAACTTTGAGAAAATTACTAAACTTTGATCAAATCTGAATTTTATAAGGTATGCAATTTTGCTACTAAAGTGATTGGATATAACTTTTTGTTAAGAGAACTTATATACTAATCTTGTAATATTCTTTCAATATTCTAGTTTGTTAGGAAGTTAGTTAATTAGTTAGTTAACTATATACTAATTAGTTAAATAAAGTAGTTAGACTAAGTAGTATTACTCAAAAATGTAATTGTATATATAGGTATGTATCCTTGTATGTACACACACAGAAATACAATTCTTCATCATTCTCTCGTCCCTTTAATCTTCTTCCTCTTCTTCTTCTTGAAGCTCTTCGACAGAGCTTCTTCACATGGTATCAGAGCTACGGAAGAGTTGAATCTCTGAGTTAGTTTCTTCATAATCTGAAGACAAGAGTTCTAAGAATCTTGAGTTGAAAGTCGAGAGTCTGTCTAATTCAAAGACTGTTAGCTGTTGAAATTGATCAAATCATGCCTTCAACTGGAGACGGAGCTTCAAGTGAAGTTCCACAACAATTTCCAGTCGCAAATACTGCCAAAATAGATCACAATCATCCCCTCTTTATACACCCTTCAGATACTCAAGGTTCTGTTCTGATTTCAATTCAATTGTTGGGTTCTGAAAACTATTCTTTGTGGAGCAAATCTTTAAAACTTGTGTTACTAGGAAAGAACAAGTTAGGATTTCTACTTGGAACTTGTAGAAAGGAGACGTATTCTGAATGTTTACATGATGTATGGGATAGATGCAATGCAATTGTTCTTGGATGGATTATGAATACTGTGTCTAAAAGTTTGATTAGTACAGTGATCTATGGATCTGATGCTCATTCAGTGTGGGAAGATCTACGTGAAAGATTTGATAAAGTAAATGCATCTAGGGCCTTTTACCTTCACAAAGAACTAATTACTATGTCACAAGAAACTTCTTTTGTGTCAATCTATTTTTCAAGATTGAGAGAGTTATGGGATGAGGCTGAAACTTTGATTCCTTGTCCTTCATGTGCCTGTCCTGAGTCTAAACAATACATTGAACACTTACAATTTCAAAAATTATGGCAATTTCTGATGGGGCTTAATGAGTCTTATGCTCATGCAAGAAGCCAAATTTTGATGCAGATTCCAGTCCCAAGTGTAAATCAAGCATATGCTATGATTGTTAATGTTGAGAGTCAAAGAATACATGGTGCAGGAAATACATTTTCATCTGCAGAAGCTGTATCTGAAACAGCATTGATGAGTAATAGAATGTCTTTTAGTTCTTCTCAGTCTGGACATGGTGGATACCACAACAATAATACAACTTCCTCGGGAACTGGAAGGGGAATTTCTAATTTTCAGAATAATGGATATAGAAATAAGGGGTATGGAGATGGAAGAACTGGTTACACTACAGGAAAGTCTCAACTCTATTGTGAATTCTGTCATTATAAAGGACATACAAAAGAAACTTGTTATAATCTTCATGGTTATCCAAAGAAGAAAGGAGGAGTATCTTCTTATGCAAATAATGCTGCTTCTGCTAAAAATGAATCTGGAATGGTAGACTCAACTTCAAGATCAAATACTAGAACAAATGAGTCATCTAATGACACTACTTTAGGCCAGGGTGTGTCAATGTTTACTCAAGAACAATACTATGAGATATTACAGATGCTGAGAAAAGGGAAGAATAAGGAAGTGGATACAATGGCCAATGTAGCTACTGCAGCTGTATCTGGAACATCAGGTAATGTTACAGCTCTAATGTCTGACATGTCACATATTAATTGGATTATAGATACTGGTGCTTCCAATCATATGGTTCACAACTTTGGTTTAATGAGTCAGTCTGCAAATCTTGATGTTCAGGGAGGTATGAGAGTTAATTTACCTATTGGTGATCAGGTGTCTATTAGTCATATTGGTGAATCTTTGATTCTTAAAGACAAAGTAGTAAAGGATGTGTTGTTTGTTCCAGAATTCAAGTATAATCTTCTAGCAGTGTCACAACTAACAAAACAGTTGAAGTGTGCAATAGTGTTTTTTCCTGATTTTTGTATTTTTCAGGATCTCTTCAATGGGAGGGTCCTGGGGATTGGTAAAGAGAATCAAGGATTGTATATCCTCAATACTGCTGCCACAACAAAGCCTTCAAATGATCAAGGTTCTTCTGAAGAATATGCAAAGGAAGTTGTATGTAAAAGGATTAGACCTGTTAGCTTTAATTCTTCTGTTGATTCTGTAAGTAGCTTATGGCATAAAAGACTTGGACATGCTCCTCTCAAAGTGTTAAGTAGAATAAAGGAATTAAACATTGTGTCTATGCATGATCATCATTGTTCTATATGTCCAATTGCCAAGCAATCAAGACTGCCTTTTCCTACTAGTCTTTCTCATTCAAGTTCAGTTTTTGATATTATACATGGTGATGTATGGGGACCCTATTGAGTACCTAATCATGATGGCAAAAGGTATTTTTTAACTCTTGTAGATGATATGTCCAGATATACTTGGATTTTCTTATTACACACTAAGTCAGATACTGTGGTAGTGTTAACAGAGTTTGTAAACTTGGTAAGAAATCAGTTTGGAGTAGGCATTAAGTGTATAAGAACAGACAATGGAACAGAGTTTGTTAATGGTCAAATGGATGATCTATTCAAAGCTAATGGCATTATACATCAAAGTTCATGTGTGTATACTCCTCAACAGAATGGAGTAGTTGAGAGAAAGCATAGGTCTATTCTTAACATGGCAAGAGCACTAAGGTTTCAGGCTGGTGTACCTCTACAGTTTTGGGGATTTTGTGTTACTACTGCAATATATATACTGAACAGATTACCTACTGTGTTGTTACAAGGACAGAGTGCTTTTGAAAAGTTGTTTGGACAAGCTCCTAGTCTTCAGCATCTTAGAGTGTTTGGAAGTTTATGCTATGCTACAGATCCTAAAGTTTTAGACAAGTTTGCACCTAGAGCTGTTCCAGCTGTGCATATGGGGTATTCTATGAACAAGAAAGGTTATATTTTATATAACTTGGCTTGCAAATCTTTTTTTATAAGCAGAGACACCGTGTTTAAAGAAGATATATTCCCTTTCAAGAGTCTTCAATCATTTCCAGATCATCTGTTTCCTGTTCTAGATCTTCAAGATAGCTCATGTACTGAGTCATTTGAATCAGAATCTGATAAAACCTTCATTCCAGGTTTAAATCCTACAACTTCTACACAACCTCAGACTTCCTCTAACATTACAGCACCATTAGTTCCTCTAAGAAGATCCTCTAGACAATCTAAACCACCTATTTGGATGGACTCATATGTGACTCAAAGTGCACAAAGTGCATGTTTATATCATATGTCACAGTATATTACATATTCTAAACTAGCCCCTACATATAGAGCATCTCTTGCTGCATATTCTCTTATTCCTGAACCTCATACATATAAAGAGGCTTGTCAAGATACTCATTGGGTGAATGCCATGAGAGATGAGATTAATGCTCTAGAAGACAATAATACTTGGTCTATTGTTCTTTTACCTTCAACAAAGGTTCCTATTGGCTGTAAGTGGGTGTTTAAAGTTAAGTATAAAGCATCTGGAGAAGTTAAGAGATATAAAGCCAGGTTAGTAGCAAAAGGATACAATCAAAAGGAAGGCTTAGACTATACTGAGACATTCTCACCAGTAGCTAAAATGGTTACAGTAAGGTCAGTAGTGGCTTTAGCTGCTTCATGTGGCTGGTTTATATTTCAAATGGATGTTCACAATGCATTTCTTCAAGGTGATCTTCCTGAAGAAGTTTATATGCATATCCCTTAAGGTTTTGCAAACCAGGGGGAGAAAAATATGGTTTGCAAGCTTCATAAGTCCTTGTATGGACTGAAGCAAGCACCAAGGCAATGGAACTTAAAACTAACAGAGGCTTTAGTTGATATAGGATTTTTACAATCTCATTATGATTACTCACTTTTTACTAAGAACATAGGTAAAGATCTTCTAGTCATCTTGGTTTATGTTGATGATCTCCTGGTTACTGGGAGCAGTTTGCATCATATACAACAAATAAGGAAGGAACTACAACAAAGGTTCAGAATGAAAGATCTTGGTGAGCTTAAATATTTTCTTGGAATTGAATTCTCCAGATCTAAAGAAGGTATACTGATGAATCAAAGGAAGTATGCTTTAGGACTTGTGTCTGAGTTGGGATTAGCAGGTTGTAAGCCTTCTTCTACACCCTTGGAGTTTAATCACAAGCTAACTTCTACTGTGTTTGATGAAGTTATTGAGAAAAATACTAATGCAGAAGACTTAATTCTTGATGAGTTTGGAAAATATCAGAGGCTAATAGGAAAGTTACTATACTTAACCATGACTAGACCTGATATAGCTTTTGTTGTACAGGTTCTTAGCCAATATATGCACTCTCCTAAATCATCTCATATGGAAGCTGCACTCAGAGTAGTGAGGTATATAAAAGGTACTGCAGGCCTTGGATTGTTTATGCCAAGTAACAAAAACAATGAAATGGTAGCTTATTGTGACTCTGACCGGGGAGCTTGTGTAGAAACAAGAAGGTCAGTTACTGGTTATATGATTAAACTAGGAGGAGCACTGGTGTCTTGGAAGTCAAAGAAACAAAGCACAGTATCAAGGAGCTCTGCAGAAGCTGAATTCAGGAGTATGGCCACTACAGTTGCTGAGATAGTCTGGTTAAAAGGCTTGTTCAAAGAGTTAGGAATGAACATAAAGTTGCCAGTGAAAGTATTTTGTGATAACAAAGCTGCTATCCAAATAGCAGCACATCCAATATTCCATGAAAGAACCAAACATTTTGACATAGATTGTCATTTTGTAAGAGAAAAGATACTTGAAGGACTTATTCAGACACAACACTTGGGAACAAGAGAACAACAAGCTGACATACTTACTAAAGGGCTGTGCAAACCTCAACACGAAGAACTAATTGTCAAGCTAGGAATGAAAAATGTATTTTCCAATTCTTAGCTTGAGGGGGAGTGTTAAGAGAACTTATATACTAATCTTGTAATATTCTTTCAATATTCTAGTTTGTTAAGTTTGTTAGGAAATTAGTTAGTTAGTTAACTATATACTAATTAGTTAAATAAAATAGTTAGACTAAATAGTATACTCAAAAATGTAATTGTATATATAGATATCCTTGTATGTACACACACAGAAATACAATTCTTCATCATTCTCTCGTCCCTTTAATCTTCTTCCTCTTCATTCTTCTTGAAGCTCTTCGACAGAGCTTCTTCACACTTTTTAATCGATGAAGAACGTAAATATAACATTTAGTATAATTATTATAAGATCATAAATAAAATATTAGTTATACTCAAAGTGAGTAACTAAATTATCACACGTCACAGCCTATAAGAAACAATATTTGTCACACTTGTAATTCTAGACAAAGTTAAGAGAACAAGTCATAAGGATAAGCAGAAAGAGTCAGTTTTCAAATTACCCAAACATAAGACATCTGTACTGCCACGTAACCAGTTGTATTGCCACGTGTCATGCCACGTGTTAGTCTGCATGCTAGTCATATTCCTATCTATAAGCTAGCTGCCTCTTCTTTCAAGGCCAAAATAAGTAAACAGATCAACACAACAAAATTCTGATTTTTTCTTTGAAATTTTAGAGAAAAAAAAAGATGGAAGGCATAAATATATCGACTCATCCAGATGTTCCAGGTGAACCTACGCAGACAGGAACATCAATTCTTGAGACTGCAACAGCTACTATTCAAGGATTTGGTCCTATCAACAAAATTCATCAACATCTTTGCGCGTTAAGTTTCTATTATTCTATCCTTCGTTTTTTTATTATAACTAAATTTATAGCACTGATAACGCTAGTGGCGAATTTAAAATTTTTAATATATTAGGGTTATAGGTGGATATATTTATTTTGAGACGAGAGTAGATTGATATGTGTTATAAGTTACTCGTGAACAAAGCTGGACAATAGGAGTTTGGGGTAAAAAATAAGAACATTTAACTTCTGCACCATCAGAAGAAAAGTGAGAATTATATAAGGATTTTTTTAGAAATTAGTATGAAAATTTGCGTGAAAATAAATTTTGTAAGAATTTTCATACTATTTTTAGGAAAATCTTCATGTTATTTACAGTTTTCTAAGTTGGATAGCTGGCTCAAATCCACGACTCTAGCGTGAAACTATGCACTTTCGATTTCAGGTTCCATTTCTACGGACACGACATGACACGGCAAGTGGAGGCGCACCACTTCTGTGGACACCAAAATGAAGAGTTCAGGCAGTGTCTCATTTACGACAGGCCTGATGCCGATGCTCGTCTAATCGGGCTCGAGTACATCGTATCGGAGGAGCTGTTCTTGACATTGCCAGACGACGAGAAGAAATTCTGGCATTCCCACTTGTACGAGGTGAAAAGTGGTGTCTTGTTCATGCCCGGTGTTCCAGGCCCGATTCAACGACAAGATCATGAAAAAACGGTGAAAACTTATGGCAAAGTGATACATTTCTGGCAGGTTGATAGAGGTGATACACTTCCTTTGGGAATTCCTCAAGTTATGATGGCGCTTACTAGAGATGGTCAACTCGATCAGAACCTTGTTCAAGGTACACAAATCATTAATAAAAAAACCCTTTAACTTGATGTGACTTGGCTTTAGATGTGTACAAGTATATATTGAACAAAACAAATTGTCCTACATGCCTACATAAAAATTGTGTGTGTTATGTAGCGACATCCACATGTTCAATTTTATTTGTTATATTTTTACGTCTTTTAAAAAATAAAATTGGATGTAGATGTGGAGAAGCGTTTTGGTGTGTCCTTTGATGAAGAAAGGGAGAAAAGGGCATATATGGAAGGTCCGTCCCATGGGGTTCACCCACTTGCTAATGCTGGAGGCAAAGGCATTCGCACTGTCCTTAGAGAAGTTGATTGTAAACCTATCGAATCTGTCCCTAGAGTTTTTGTTTAAGCTTAGGTTCATTTCGTTTTGCGTTTATTTTGTTCAAAATAAAATTTTACTTTTGTGACAGGACTTGTATATGTATATGTTTCGAGTGTTGGTGAATGAATAATTCCCCTCTTCTATGTTTATGTAATCAAATACTGTATAACTTGTGTATGGTGGTGTTGCATATATGTATCATTATAGCACGCGCTTTGCTTTTTTCCTGTAAGGTACCTCTAATTGAGGTTTTCCTTGATTTGTCTTGGTGACACACTAATTTGTATGAGAATTAAATAAAATGTACTCTATATGAAGTCGACATAATAATAATATGACAAGTAAATAAAATAAACTCTACTTAAAGGCAAAAAGTAATTTTCCTTTTTGTATTTAAATTAAATTTCTCGATAACGTTAAAAGTTACTTTGCTAGTATAATGTTAGAAGTTCAAAATATTGCATGACATAAGCAAATCGTGAATTTTTCAAACTTTTGTACTTGTGCTTTTGAATTTCCTGATAATTAACAAGATAAATCCTTTGCAAATTGTGAAACTTCATTGACTTAACAAGGTGGGATAATTTAGCTGAAATTTCTTTCAAAATGAAATCAGATCCTCACCAAAAAAAAACGAAGAAAATTGAGTTACTAAAACTTCTTCATTTGAATATGTAATATGACGATACAGTTCCGAATAGATGAGATTAATTTCAATTTTTTTTTTATTTTTTAAAACATGATTTGAAATTTCGGCGGAGTTACTAAATTTTCGTAACGCTTACTTAATTCCATGATTATTAAGTTATAAAAATGGTCTTATATGATAATTTTTCAAACATAGGTAATAAGACTTGGGGGGTCAAAAAGTTTGTGGATATTAGGATTATTATTTTCTCATGTACTCTGCTCTCTACTTCTTTTCTCTACCATAGAGCGAGTGTGTATAGATATATACATATATACTACTAATATATCCTTGTTTGGTTTATGACATTTGACTAGACGATTATTCTTAGTCTAATAGTTCTAACACCATTTGGTCAAGAAATGCATGTTAAAAATATAGTTAAATAATAAAAATATGCTCTTTTTAATAGCTTAAGGTTTTATAAATGAGAAGATCACATACTTCGACAATCTTAATTTCAAAATGAAAAAGAAAAACTTAAAATCATAAGCTGCCGTAAAAAAATAATCTTAAGAAATATATTAGACGATTAATAGTATTTATATCCGAGTAGGGACAAAAATATAATCTAATTTTTGCCTAAAATTTCTTCCACTTTTATTAATATTTTTATTATTATTATTATTATTATTATTATATATGTTGATTATATGATATGATGGTGATTAAATTAAATATAAATATTGATGATAAATATTATTAAATTAGATAATTAATTAGGAATTAATCTAAGGAAGTACAAAAGTTATTAATTATTTTATTAAAATGAGATAATTTAATATTTCAATTAACTAATTAAATATTAACTAATTAATTAAATATTAATTTAATACAAAGTTAAAATAGTAATTCAACTTTTCAATTCAGAGTTTTTCACTTATAATAATATTATTATGATAATATATGATGATGATGATATGATTTCATGTCCGACCCAATGCCCAACCATAAAACCCCTTATTATATGCTAAGAAAATATCATAGAAGTGCAAAGCTTAAGTATGAAACTAACAAATAGATAAAATTTTGGGGGATTTTCCTAAAGAGTCATCTGGTGTGAAGTATAAAATATAGAATTATTTTATCTTGTATTTGATAGAAGATATATTAAGTAATTCTTAAATTATGTGTCTCATTATTTATATTATAGTAATAAAATAGATAATTAATTATGATCTCATATACGTAGCGGAGTAACTTATAATAACTCTCGAGAGAACTTGTACCAACCAAACAAACCCTCAGGAAAAAGACAAATAATATAGGTTTATTATTAAGCCACTTTACAGCTACCACATAATATTCATCTCTTGTTAGGTATAAGAATTACTAGTGAGAAAGAAAATAATACTCCTCCTTCTTCCTTCAAACCTTCAAACTTTCACTCATTTTATTTCAATGAATTTTTTTCTAATTTCACAAACTCAGAAATATATCTTTGTTGGAATCCAAATCTGAGAATTATTACTCTCTTTTTTACCTCATAATGTTTGTTTTTTCTCTAGGATGATAAAACTTGCTTTGAAGTTTTAATATTTCATCTCTTCTTCTCCTTTTAACGATTGATTCAGAATTGAAGATATTCGTTAACTAACTGTAAGTCATCTTTTTCCCATAGATACATAATTAGAGAGTTGATTTTGCAAATGATCTAGTTACTATCTCGTGAAAAAGAGAATTTTATGAGATAATAATTGTTAGTTACATGACATTACAAAAGGGTAAATAAGATGTAAAATAGTAAAAGACGAACTCATAAATAGATTTCTAAACTTTGTTTTTTTTTTCCTCAAGTAGCTCAACTACTCCTTTTATCCTATTCAATTATTGAATCACCCATAATTTGTTCCTTTTAAACATTGTTGGTTGATTTTGATCAACTATTGTAATGTCTTTGATTGTGTTAGTATTGTAATGATTTTGATTGAAGAATGAAGAAAAACTGTGTTAGTCTCATTTGTTTTCTAATGTCTTTCATATGACTTGAAGTAAAACATAATTAATCTCGAACATTTTCTCTATAAATTGGACTAATGAGTTCTGAAACAACAATTATCTATCAATACCCCTCACAAAATTTGGTTCCGCATCAGCCAATGATGTTTGTTTAACACTTTGTTTGAATCATTGTTTTCCATTGTATTGTATCTTTACCATACCTACAATGTTTGTTTTAATTATTACTAAAAATGAAGCCCCCCATTTTATGGAACAACCATTTGGTGTGTTTATTGTTTCTTAATTTTTTTTCCCAATCATATCCTTAGATAATATTTCATATTACTATTTTACCCTTTAATTCTAATCAAAACCTCATATCCTAAATAATTAAGGATATTTTATAAATTTATAAATTACAATACAGTCAAACTAAACAATAAAAATATTATTAAACAACATCAAACAATGTTAGCCATATGTTGTATCTATCATACTATACATTATGAAGGGTTAACAAGTTTAGGGATGTTTTTATATATTTGAGCAAAGGTTAATAATATGTACAACTTTTCAAAAGCATTAAGATGGGCTTCAAGAACCTAATTGGAAAAGTTGGTGAACTTGCAGGGAGAAAATGGCTGAAAATGAAATTGAGGAAATGTTAGAGCACCTGAGAAGGATCAAGAGTGGAGGTGATCTGGATTGGTTCGACATATTGCGAATTGAGGAACTTGAAATGGTGCTAAGAGTTTTTAGAACCTTTACAAAGTATCATGATGTTCTTTTGCCTGATTCCTTAGTCAAACTCACAAAGATGGCCAAATTGACTGGGGAAATACTTCACCGGGTGTTGGGTAGGATTCCACATAAATGTAAAACTAACCTTAATCTAGAAAGGCTAGAATCACATTTGTTGGAATTCTTTCAAGGTAATACGGCCAGTTTAAGTCGCAATTATGAGTTGAATGATTTTGATCTGTCAAAATATATGGATTGTCTGGAAAAATTTCTAAATGATGTACTGATGATGTTCTTGCAAAAGGGTAGGTCCTGCCATTCCAAAAGAAAACTTGCAATACATCGATCTATAAAGGAACTGAAAATTGTTCAAAAGAAAATGAGATTTTTGAAATACATATATGCCACAGAGATAAATGGTTATGTCGACTATGAGAAGCAGGAATGTTTGGAGATTCGAATTCAGTTCATGACTAACACTGTGGGACAATATTGTGTGGCCGTATTAGATTATGTCGCTGAGGGTGAACTTAATGATGAAAATGACAACTTTAGTAAACCTCCTTACCTATTATCATTGATTGTGTTTGTGGAGCTGGAAATGAAGAAGCTTTTTCATGGTGAAGTAAAGGCTTCAAAGTTTACTCGATCAAAAACTTTCAAGGACAAGAAATTACCAAAAGGATTTTCACATCATCTCCACAATCTGTTGATGTATCTCAGAAACAAAAAGCTCGAGAATTTTCCTAATAATATCGCTGCTCAAAATATCGATGTGGCAATAGAGTTCTTGTTGGTTTTCCTTGATGCTGATGTGTCAAATCATGTTATTAATGGTAACTGGTTGAAAGAGGTCTTGTTAAAGGTTGGAGCTATAGCGGGTGATATTCTATATGTAATTCAAAAGCTTCTTCCTAGATCAATAAACAAAGATGAAACTAGCAACATAAGTCTTTGCTCAATACAGATATTGGAGAAGACTAAAGATCTGAAGGCACAAGTTGAGACGTACTACAAATCCTTAAAATTTACTCCATCTCAGTTCCCCACCTTTGGTGGATTGAGCTTTCTGGATTCTCTTTTAAGGAAACTGAATGAGATGTCGACATCTAAGTCCGGATTAGGTTTCCTGACGAAACCTCTTTTAGGGAATTTGGAGAAAGAGCTATCATCTCTTGCATCCATTTTAGAGAAGGAGCTCTCATCCATTTTCAGTGATGTCGTGCACCATGAACATAACATTCCTAAAGATCTTCAGAGACGTACCATCAATTTGGCATGTGAGGCTGAGGTTGCTATTGATTCTATTCTTGCTCAGTATAATGTTTTTTTGCATATTTTTTGCTCACTTCCTACAATTGTAAAAGAGATCAAGCAAATTAATGCAGAGGTGACTGAGATGTGGTCAGCGGACATTCCTCTTAATCCTCATTATGTGGCTGCTCCATTAAAACATCTGCCGGATCGACATAGCAATCTTGTAACTGATGAGGAGGTAGTGGGTTTTGAGAATAAAGCAGAAGAACTAATTGATTATCTGATTAGAGGTACAAATGAGCTAGACGTTGTCCCAATTGTAGGCATGGGAGGACAAGGGAAAACGACAATTGCTAGAAAGTTGTACAATAATGACATTATTGTTTCTCGCTTTGATGTTCGAGCATGGTGCATCATTTCTCAAACGTATAATCAGAGAGAGTTATTACAAGATATTTTTAGTCAAGTTACAGGTTTCAACGACAATGGAGCTACGGTTGACGTTCTTGCCGACATGTTGAGGAGAAAATTAATGGGAAAGAGATATCTCATTGTATTGGATGATATGTGGGATTGTATGGTATGGGATGACTTAAGGCTTTCTTTTCCAGATGTTGGAATTAGAAGCAGAATAGTCGTAACAACTCGACTTGAAGAAGTGGGTAAGCAAGTCAAGTACCATACTGATCCTTATTCTCTTCCATTCCTCACAACAGAAGAGAGTTGCCAATTGTTGCAGAAAAAAGTGTTTCAAAAGGAAGATTGCCCGCCTGAACTACAAGATGTGAGTCAAGCAGTAGCAGAAAAATGCAAAGGACTGCCCCTAGTGGTTGTCTTGGTAGCTGGAATAATCAAAAAAAGGAAAATGGAAGAATCTTGGTGGAATGAGGTGAAAGATGCTTTATTTGACTATCTTGACAGTGAGTTCGAAGAATATAGTCTGGCAACTATGCAGTTGAGTTTTGATAACTTACCCCACTGTTTAAAGCCTTGTCTTCTTTATATGGGAATGTTTTCGGAGGACGCAAGAATTCCAGCATCTACATTGATAAGTTTATGGATTGCTGAAGGATTCGTGGAGAACACTGAATCTGGTACATTAATGGAAGAGGAAGCTGAAGGTTACTTGATGGATCTCATTAGCAGTAACATGGTAATGCTTTCAAAGAGAAGTTATAAGGGTAAAGTCAAATACTGTCAGGTTCATGATGTTGTGCATCACTTTTGCTTGGAAAAGAGTAGAGAAGCAAAGTTTATGCTTGCAGTGAAGGGTCAATATATCCAGTTTCAACCTTTGGATTGGAAGGGAACTCGAGTGAGCTTCAGTTTTAGTGAAGAGCTTTCCAAGTTTGCATCTCTGGTCTCCAAAACACAGAAGCCTTTCCATCAACACTTGAGGTCATTGATAACGACCAATCGAGCAGAATCTATTGATGTGATTCTCTTCTGTCAGATTAGTGAATTGCGACTTCTTAAAGTCTTGGATTTGAGTTCTTATACTGTGGAATTTTTGTCGTTAGCTACATTCAAACCACTAAATCAGCTGAAGTACCTCGCAGTTCAGGCTGATAAATTCTATTTTGATCCAGGATCACATCTTCCCCATATAGAAACTTTCATTGTAAAGAATTTTCCTTATGGTATAGGGTTACCAGTGTCTTTTTGGGAAATGAAAAAATTAAGGCATGCTCATTTTGGTAAGGCTGAATTTGATAAGCAGGGGCTCTCTGAAGGATCCTCTAAATTGGAAAATTTGAGGATATTAAAGAATATTATACAATTTGATAGGGTGGATGTGTTATCAACGAGGTGTCCTAATCTTCAACAACTTCAAATCACATATTTTGGGAATAATGAAGAGCCTTTTTGTCCCAAATTGGAGAATCTTACCCAGCTTCAACAACTTCAACTTTCCTTTGTGCGTCCCCGCACTCTATCCGGGTTACAGTTGCCTTCAAATTTAAATAAGTTGGTACTTGAAGGAATTCATATAGAAAGTGTTATTCCCTTCATTGCGGGACTACCAAGCCTGGAATATCTCCGATTACAGGATGTGTGTTTTCCTCAATCAGAAGAGTGGTGCCTTGGAGATATGACGTTCCATAAACTTAAGTTGTTGAAACTGGTGAAGTTAAATATATCAAGGTGGGATGTCTCAGAGGAATCATTTCCGTTGCTTGAAACACTCGTTATAAAGAAGTGCGGTGACCTAGAGGAGATCCCAGTTAGCTTTGCTGATATTCCCACATTGGAACAGATTAAATTGATTGGGTCCTGGAAAGTATCTCTGGAGGATTCAGCTGTGAGAATGAAGGAAGAAATCATACAGATTGAAGGATGTGATCGTTTACACCTCGTCAAACAACACTCAGATTGATGATAGCTAATTGTTGCAGCCACTCAAGTCTTGCTAGCCCATTTCTCTTTTGTTGTAACACAACTACTATTTGCTACGTTTGTTTTCATTGATACACTCTTTTTATGTATCATATGATTGGAGATAAATATAAATCAGTTGCTCATTCACTGATTTCTTCTTGTTATGCAGCTAGCTTTATGCTTTTGACCAATTTCTCTCCATTGAACATCTTCATATCTCAATACACATCAACCATGTTGTTGATTTTATAATTCGATCAACGATCCGAAAAAGCTCAAGCTTAAATTTACTGCTGGAGATGCAATATTTTTCAAAGGTTGGACAGATTCTTCTCTTTTCCCTTTGATCTAAAGCCATACAGGGGAGATGTAAAAACAAAATGAGTGTAAAATTGTAGGCAAACTAGTCCAAAGAATTCTCTTTTTATTTAAAAAAAATAAATTCTTGTATGGATAGTTGGTTCGTGATTCAATTAATAGGTTAAAAAAATCAATATTAAGGCATCAATTCTAATTCAGATCGAAATCAAAACTATATATATTTTTTAAAGTGCAATTTTTTACTCAATATATAGTTTATTCTTTTTATTGTCTTTTTAAAGATCTCTTAATGTTTAAAATTACAAAAATCTTTCTGTTCTTCCATCAAATTTATAAATATAAAATAACTTTTGAGGACTATTTTGAATGCTCCTCTAATATAAGGGACCATTTTGCAATGTTCTACTCTAGAAAATATAGCAGAAGAAAAGTGTTGAGAGAATCATCAAAAAAGCCGATGTCGATTCTGTGGGAGAAGAGTGGAACATGGCGGTGGTTAGTGAGGAGAACGAAGGAATCGAAGCCGTTCTTCATCGGATTCGCCACCGTTTGCGGCGTCATTCCGGGGATTATTGGTTTCTGCGTTATGTCAGCCACCAATACTCGCAGTCCTGAACTTGAAGCCCAACTACGGAAGAACGCTCGTCCAGAATCCCTAGTATGTTCACTTCCCCTTCGAATACTCATATTGCTAAAACTAGATCAGTTTGTGATTTATGTATGTTGTATCTTCTGCTGTTTTAGCTGTACGGGGAATTGCTTAGGATTATCAATCGCCTAATAGTAATGTAAATTGCCAAATAAGTATTTGATTCGTATGTATTGTAGCTTCTGCAGCGTGAAATTGCTTTGATATTAACATAGAGCCCCTTCACCTAGTAGTATTTTTATTCTTAGATGATTATCTGATTCATTTGTCTTGTAGCTTCTGTAGTTATGGTTATACGCAATTTTACGTGGTGTTGTCGGTTCTTATTTTGTATTCTTTAAAAAAATTCTGATATGGAATCATAGTCTATATAATTACAATTATGAGTTAAGAGTATCCATTAAATGTAGTCTAAAAGATATAGACCATCAGTCAGTTGGTTCATTCTAATTCATTGAATTAATCCGTTATAAAAATATCAGAAAAAGAAGGGAACATTGTTTTTGGTTAACATGAATTGAATTTTTCTGTAAACAATTTTTCATAAAAATTGTGTCTTTATCCCGGAGTCTTGAAGAAAATAAAAATCTTTCTTTTCTTGACTCCCCTTGGCCGCTGCTTAGCTAAGCGTTATTACAGGAACATCTTCAATCTGGTAGGATGAGTGATCTGTTTCACATGTCTTGTACATCCTGATCTAATGGTTATACCAAGAACCGCCTTGTCATTATTATTTCCTAATGTGCTTTAGAGTCCCCTCACCTAGGAGTATTGTTTTTACCAGATGAGTATTGATTCATGTGTTGTAGTTTCTGCCGTTATGATTGTATGCAAATTGATTCTTTTTGTTTATTGTACTCCCTTTGGCCTTTGCCTACTTAACTGTTACTACCAGAGGATCTTTCATAACAATTAGCAAGGCAAAGGCCTTTGAAAGATGCTCTGTTACTAGTAATGGTATATGAGGAGCAAACTTTCATCTGGCGAGGTCAGTATGCGCCTCATGTCTATTGTGTATTCTGCTGTGACGATTGAGCTTTTTGATCTGTCAAAATGAAAAGTAAACTAGCAGTATCATTTGATAATGTTTCTTGTTGTTTGATGTACTGGTTACCTTTGAAAATAAAATGATGTTTGGAGCTTTATTTTTTAGTGTAGATAAAGTGATTGATAGTTAACTTATAGAAAATAGCAATCGATAACCAATCTTGGTAGATACAAAACAAGAGTGTAAAGTAATTGAATTACTTCTAAGCATTTGGTTGGACACCTCCTCTATATTTATTGATGGGTTCCTATGTATGTTTTATGAGACATCATATGACAGATCCGGGAGTTTAAGAAATTAGATTAACAGTGGTATTTTTTAAGTATTAGTCAAAAAAATTATTTAAATGTAGAAATCCTGGGATTCTACAATAATTTGTTCAGAGAGACAAAGAAGTGAAAGCCTAGATGGTATGTTGAGGAACTGGGGAATACATTATAAGTGGAGCGGAAGTGGACCGAGTTGAAAAAACTTTCATTGAGAAAACGTATGGCTTGCTATCTAAGCAGTGTAGGAAACGAAGTCTCTGGAATTTGATAGATTCACCAAGGGCTTTTTGTTGATAATGTTGACCTATTATTTATTTTTAACGAAGTAATATCATTAACAGGCATCACGAAGATGCAAATAGAACATAGTAGTAAAGAGGGTGATATGCTAGCTCCATTAAAGGCATCAAGAAGATGTTGACCAATCATTAAGGAAGAATCAAAGACCAGCTTCAAGTATTTCCTTTAGGGGGAGAAACTAGATAGAAGCCTAAATGTGATTTTTATTGCTATAATCCTGATTCCTGAAGAGGTAAGATGTTGGTTAGACTCTTTTGACCTCTATTCTATTTGGCAATAGTTACAAGATTATTGCCAAAATCCTCAATGGAAGGTTGAGGAAAATAATAGACAAATTGGTATCTAAATCACATAATCTTTTTCTTTGTGAGAGTGCTAGTAGCTAATATGAGCTTGGAGTCCAAGATGAAGTATATTGATGTTAGGGCAATGTGCAAATTAGACTTCAAGGAATATGACCGTGTTAGCTGGCCTTTCTTACTAAAGCTACTTGAGAGCAGGGGTTAAATAGATTGACTTGTGCATATTAAGCTGTAAACGACCAGAATGTTAGTATCTTTTAACGTACAGATTCTACCAGCAATTCGGGCTTTAAGGTGGAAAAATCTCTCACCGTTTACCCTGGTTTGCCTTTGGGTGCCTTGGACCAGCTTGTATTTTTGGAACTTGTAAATTGGAAAGGAAGGACAACTAAGTTCTTTAAGTCCCCAAAGAACCTCCATTGAGTGACGTAAAGTGTTATTGTAATAAAGATTAATTTTAAACCCTTTTCTACAAATAGCTATAATGTTCACTTCTCTATATTGTTCAGTCTTTTGCTGTTAGAAAGAACATCGACTTTGCCTTTTTTATGAAGAGCAAAGTAGGTAAAGCTTTGCAGTAGATAAAAAAAAATGGACTCACAGACACAGTGGTTTCTTCTGTCTTAGTACTTTGACTTACAATTGTTGAATTCCTAAACATATATTGTTTTGATTTTTGTAACAGATGATGGGTAAAGTTAATAAAGAGAGGTTGGCTGAGTACCTTGGCGAACTGCAGAGAAAGGAGAACACAAATGACAGATATGTTGCAGCTCTAAAGGGCGAAACGTTGACAAGGAAACCTTACCAAAGAATTCAACCAGTCCCAAATCCAAGTGATATTGAAGCAAAGAAGGAACAGAAGTAGATCGTGGCTTAACCGGTTTTGTTGATTTAGTTTGGTACTTCTACTTTTTCCAATGGATAAAGCTTTGGAATGGAATCATGGACACAACTGGAGTTATTGCTATATATCTTTGAAACTTGTACAAGTAAAATTTGAAGAACGACTGTTGTCGAATGAGTGAAATCTCATTGAAGTTAAAATAACCACATCTTAGTTCTAGCGCGAGTAATCTTGTTTACTTGCATTGCGATATTGTGTTATGCGTGCAAGGATTTGTTGTACTTGATTACTATATAGTATGAAAGTGCACGATTTAAGTGAATATTTTCTTATGTAAACCAAAATTTTGAAATTCAGCTCCTCCTTTCGTTCTGTTCCCTAGTTTCGCCAGACAAAGGTCAATATTTATGTTGGCACATGATACATTCAGTTGCATTAAAATATAACTCATTCAGTATACAAACAAGTTCTCCAGATTTAACTTTCAAATATCCTAAACAATACCGAAAACTGTGGTTCTTTAATACCTTATTCTCTGACCAAATTTAAAAGAAAAAAAAAAGAGCCAAATAGTACACATTCACATGATGGAGCATGGTTCTACTGAAACACCAGAGTAAAAGAGCTACTCCAACATTAGCACAAACAATCACACAAATACACAAAAGGATGTAGCTATATAACACCTCGTTGACTTCACAGTCGTATTTCAACAGCTACTCGAGAAGGCATAGCACAGTAGAATCAACAAACAAAAGGAGCATCAACGTGATGATCATCGCAGTAGAGGCCTGGGCGTTGTGTGAAGCCTTGTTTCTGCATCTTTTTCCTAGCCTTGCTAACAAGCTCCTCATTGGTGACTGGACCATCTGATTCGGCCAGGATTTCCTGAATTGCGTTGCTTAGAGCACCATAAGACTCTCCGCCTGCAGGGGTTGCATCCGCAGATGTTTGGTCTGTTTGGCACCCACTGACGAGAATGCCACTGTCTGGAAGACCTCTATTACCTGAACCGGCATAAACCTCCTGTTTACCTTCAACGTGTGTTTCCATGGCCGGTTTTGCATAGCTCTCATCATTTTCATCAAGTTTCTGTTTCAGAAACTCTTGAGCCAAGTTACCAACCATACCCATGAACCCGCCGCCTCCACCCTGCTCGTTATTCTTTTGTAGCTTGTTAAAAATGATTTTCATGAATTTCTTCACCTTAGGACTTGCATCTTCGCCAAAGACGTCAAAGAGTGTTGGCCTAAGTTTCCCAACATCAATATCATCCTTACCAGTTTTCTGCTTAAGTATCTCGATGAGAGTGGAAAGAGGCAAGGACTTGCTCTTCACATGAACTTGATCACCGTCTTCCGTCTCAATCACACTACTCTCAGCAAAATTCTCCTCTTCTTCCTCACGGCGATGGTGGCGACCTGGAAGGTGGATACCCCGGGATTCAAATGCATCTTCAACATTTCGACGTAAGAAATTCTTGAATCCAAAACCAGATCCATGGCCTTCATCGTCATCACCTTGCTTGTGGCTCTCCCCTATCTGCTCTTTAGCTTTGTCAATGAGGCCACCACTGTGGCATGAGTCAGATACAATTGTGATCTGGCAACCTTCAGGAACTTTGTCAACGAGCTCTCTAAAATCATCATCTGATCAAGGATGAAACAACACATCCAACAGTTCAATATTAATTGCCTGTTACTTTTCCAATATTAAATAAGCAAGAGGTAATAAACTGTATAGCCAAGTGTCGGAAATCAAGGGTAAGGTTTGCGTACATCCTAGCCTTTCAAGATCCCACTTGTGGGATCACGACCATTCTCTTTTTTTTGCCAATTTTTTCTGATCTCCCACCATTCAATAATTTTAATCGCTCTGGATCCAAATTCTCATTTCTAAATCCTAGTTCCCCATTTCACAAATCTTCCTAAAACTCGGGATCCATCTCAATAATCATCAAAACAGATCAACTAAGCACTTTCAAGATCCTTTTTTACTCAATATTCTATGATGATCTTAGTCTAATACCAATCTACAAATTACTTACACACACGGAAAAAAAAACAAATTTTGGAACAACCCATGATTAAGTTCCTGTATATGAGATTCGTATCACAATGTAGTAAACTACACTCCTCCTTTTTTCCCAACTGTTACGCGTCCCCCATTCAACTATTTCAATCACTCTAGAAACCCAAATTCTCATTTCTAAAATCCCATTTCCTCGTTTTACAAATCTCCTTATATCTTTGATCCACCTGAATTATCATCAAAACAGATCAACTCAACCTTTCAAGATCATTTTTTGAGAAAACCATTTGAAGATCTCAATCTCCTAGACCCTACCACATCAACTCTAACACCCAACCCCAAACAAACAAAAAGCGAAATTTGAAACAAACCCAAAATTTAGATCAAAGCAATACAAATACCTGCAATAAAATTCATATCACACACACAACACATTAAAAAAAAACAAATTTTCGAAGACACCCATGATCTAGATCAAACCATATAAGTACTCAACACAGAAAATCAAAAAACAACAAATTTTGGAGCAAATACATACTTCAAATCAAAGCAATACAACTAAACCCCCAATAAATTCAACACAACACACAAAAAAAAAACATTTTTTTAACAAACTCATGATATAGATCAAGTACAGACTTACTAACTCAGTTGATTAACTACCTAAGTATTCAATTCCTAATTTTGATCAAAGAAATGCTCAAGTAGCTGCATTAAAACGCATACCACACACAAAAAAAACAAATTTTGGAACAAACCCATCATTTAAATCAAACCAATACAACTAATAACCCCCAACATAATTCAACAAACACAAAGAAAAAAACAATCTTGGAACAAACCCATCATTTAGATCAAGTACAATCTAAATAGCTCAGTCGATTGACTACCTGACAACTCGATTCCCCACCTCATAATCCCCGCCCCATTTCCCCTACTCCAAATCCTTAAAAAACAGCGGTTTAAGTAAAAAAAAATGTTGAATTACCTGTAATAAGATTCATATCACAAGGAACAATACACTCATCAAAACCAGTATCATCTTCTTCACCCGTTTCAGCAGGTAACCTAGTTCCATGTCCACTGTAATGCACAAACAAACAATCCCCTGATTCAGCAGATCCAACAAGATCCGATAAAGCTTTACGTATATTCCGACCAGTTGGTTGTGTGTAAGAATCATCAGTATCTATAAGAACAGTAATGTCTTCCTCAGCAAATCCGTAACGATTAAGTAAACAATTGTACATTCGCTTAACATCGTTAATACAACCTCTAAGTTCTGCTTTTGTTCCTGGATAATTGATTCCAATTAATACTGCTTTTTTCGCCATTGAAATTTTTCAAGAAAAAAAATTGATCTTTTTAGTTTAGAGAATTTTTTGGGATTGTTGATTGAATAATTTGAGATCTTTTTAAGTCAAAAGGCTAGTGGGACATAAGTAATTAAAAGTTTTTAAGTTAGGACCCCCTATATATTTTTTACTTTCTTTTATAATTGTAACGTTTTTAGAGTTTGGTCATAAATTTATGTTACTTACATTTAAGTCAATATAAAAATAATAAGTTTTTAACTTTTTATTGTTAGTAACCTTTTTATATTTTCTGTAAAACAGTAACTGTATTTTTAAAAGTCATTAAACTAAATTTTGCATATAAAATTAGGACAAGTTTATGAATTAAAGTTTTTCTTCTAACATAAGTTGTAAAGTATTTCATAAGTTATACACCAAATATAAAGTGTGGCTTCTAAGCTTTTATTGTAATTATATGTTTAGCAAGATTTGAACAAATGATTTGGCCTCTTACTACTTAATCAAATACAATATTTTTAATCCTCTTTCTAAAAATAATCCAAAAAAATTGTATATCAATAAAATTAATAAATAAATGGCATATTATTCAATAATAACTTTTTCGTTTCTTTTTATTGTTATTTTTTAAAGAAGCGTATTATTTTAAAATTATTATTTTATGATGTATTTAATATATATAAAATTATAATTTATAATATTTGTACATAATTTTGAATTTATATTGATCACGTCAACGGTCAACGAATCAAAGGCAGCAAAATAAAAAAGGTTTACATGCCGACAACTACCAAACATTGTTTCTCTTTGATTTTGAAGTTGCTAGATGTTTCTTTCTTAAAAAATAAATCAATAATAATTATATAATAAACATTCAATTCAAAAATAACATCCTTCTCCGCCTAATATTTAATATTTATATAAAGATTATTTAATTAATTCAAATTTATATTACGTAAATTTTATTTACAGATTTTATATATATATATATATATATATATATATATATATATATATATATATATATATAAAATTTAAATTGAAACTTTTAAAAATAAGAAAATTCTAGTTATTCAATCATAATTTTTTTTATAAATCATGAAGGTGAGGTAATTGGCAAGGCATATAATTGAATTTCTTGCCAAATAATTTTTTTTTATTACGTACAAATGATAAAATTTACCTTTTACCTTCGCGATGAGATTTCTATGTCAAAATTTCAAATTATAAATATGACATTTTTAGTATTAATTAAAATTTTAAAATATTTAAAGTTAACTCGTAAATTACTTTATGATATATGCTTTGATCACATATAAATAGTAAAATTTATTTTTTATATTAAAATATACTTTTAATTTTACAACAAATGGTTCAAAAGATTATTTTACATCAAGAGTTTAAATCATAAATATGGTATTTTAAGTATTTTTTGGATTCTTTGCTATCTAATAATTCCTAGTTTCTACATTGAACTTATTTTCCATTATAGTTATTTAATCTATAATTCATGCATTATTTATATTATTTGGAATTCTTTAATATCTAATAATTCTAGTATATATCTTTCTTTTTTCTTTTTAACTTATTTTCCTCTTTGGTCAATTAAATCTACAAATTCATATTCTCAGTTTTTTATCCAAATAATTTTTTTAATCAAGAAACCACGTCATAGTAACATCAGCATGACATCATCAAATAAAAAAATTAAGTAGGCCCCACTTGAAACTTCTATTCAACACACGAAATATATATTCAATGAATATGAATCCTTAAGAACAAATTGCCTATAAATAGCCACATTAGCACAATCAAATGAAAACACAACAAACAAAAAATAAATTTAGTTGAAACAAACATTAAAAACATCAAAATGTCTATGTCCTCTATTTTTAGTAGACCAAGATTGGTTGTTAAGAAAGTTTTGGCTAGAGCTCAAAATGAAGGTGATGGTGCTATTGTTAGAAGAAGCATTGGAAGGTAACTATGTTTCTATACTTCTTTCCTTTTTCTTGATTTTTTATCATCGTTGTGATAATCGAGAAATCTCTGACGATCATAAATATGTTGGTGAATAATAATCACATCTTTTTATTTTTCTCCAAATTAGATACCATATATCAGAAACACGACTCGAATACTGATTGTTTTTTTTTTATATAATATTTGATCAGGCCTGAATTGCAGAATCTTGATCCATTCCTCATGTTAGATGAGTTTAGTGGTAATTTTTTTTTCTCTTAGTATATTATTTTGTGGATTTTATTTTGATTTTGACTTATTAAAAAGCTATGTTATTTTTGGCTTCTTGCAGTTTCACAACCTGCTGGATTTCCTGACCATCCACACAGAGGTTTTGAGACTGTCACTTATATGTTGCAGGTAAAAATTCATTTTAATTTCTTTTTTTTTTGGGTGAAAGTTTAACTTTTGTACACCGACCAAAAAAATATTGATATATACTATTAGGTATCGCGATGTATATAAGTTAAACTCTGTATTTGGTGTATGGATTATGGAGATTGAAAATTCTAATGTGATTTAATTTTGTGGTGTTTAATTTTAGGGAGCTTTTACTCATCAAGATTTTGCTGGTCACAAGGGTACAATCAGGACTGGTGATGTGCAGGTAATAAGTTTGCTCACAACACCACTATCAACTTAAGTTACGTACACTGACAGTGTGAAGATTTTTAATAATATCAGTGTAATATAACATAACATGTGATAGTTACCTCCTAAAGTGGGACTTCATGACGCGATAGAATATCGAATTTATGAAATTTAAAGTGTGTTTTATGATTTTATTTTTTTTCCCGTTTGGTTTAATGCAGTGGATGACAGCAGGAAGAGGTATAGTTCATTCAGAAATGCCTGCTGGACCAGGTACTCAAAAGGGGTTGCAGCTTTGGATAAATTTATCTTCTAAGGACAAAATGTAAGTTACATTGATTCAATTTTGACTTTAGTGTTTGAAAAATCTAGTATTTCATTTTTTAACATATTCCTATAAAACATGTACTCTGATCAAAATTCATAAAACTTAAGCGTTTAAGATTTAATATATATGTATTAAAGTATGACTTGACCTATATGAGTCAGACAAAGGGTGTTCGAGTAACCAGTCTTCAATCTGTGTGGCTAAAACATGCTTTAGTCACAACAACTCATGACCCTGTTACTTCACGAGCCTTCATTGCCCCGTTTTTTGTAACTTCACTCATTTTGTCCATCCATATTGATGCAGGATTGAGCCAAGGTATCAAGAATTGCTACACCAAGACATACCAAAGGCTGAAAAAGATGGTGTTTCGGTTACTATTTTAGCAGGGGAATCCATGGGGAAAAAATCACAAGTTTTCACGCGAACGCCTACAATGTACCTTGATTTCACCCTAAAACCAGGTTCTGAGCATCATCAACCGATCCCCGAGACCTGGAATGCCTTCCTCTACATAGTTGAAGGAGAGGGAGCGTTTGGTTCTTCGGATTCAACCACTACACCAGCTCACCATTGCTTGGTTTTAGGCCCTGGTGAAGGTCTAAGTGTGTGGAACAAATCTTCAAAGCCATTGAGGTTTGTTCTGATAGGAGGGCAACCGATTAACGAGCCTGTCGTGCAGTATGGTCCATTTGTTATGAACACTAAGAGTGAGATTATGCAGGCTTATCAAGATTATCAACTTGGAAAGAATGGATTTGAAAGATCAAGACAATGGTATTCTAAATGAGTAAACAGAGTTACATCTTATACTTCATGAACATTAAGTGCAATAGTCATTAGTTTTCTTAATGATTTCAAGTTGTGTTAGTCTTTGCTTTCATTTGAAATGTTATGTGTGTTGAGTGATGTTTATTAGTGTTCATTTCCTTCATTTGTTCAAGATTGTATTTATAGTAATTTATGTTAGAGTTCTTGAATTATATCTTAGCTTCTTTAGTTTGGATCATAGACTCAATTTTTCATGTCATCAAGATTATCCAAAACGATTGTCGCATTTCGTATCAGATTCTTTAAAATGTACGAATCTCAAAAAATTTAACTTGCCTTCGTCGACCTTTTTAGTAGTTTGTTGGAAAAATATATTCACTTCTTGAATAATATATTTTTTATTTGTTTAAATCATTCATTAAAAATATAATGACTATATTATCATATTATAGGGAGTGGATGTCCATGAAAAACATGGTCCAATGTGATTTTTTACGATCATTTCTCAATTATTGAGTCAACGTGGTTATTCATGAAGTTTTACCATAATCAACTCAAGAACTAATTTCATGTCTAAAAAAAATTTATAAAGAGAAATTGATGTTAAAAACACATAAGAATTAAATAATTTATCGCTTAAATATCAAAGAAAAGCAGGATGATGTGTACTTTTAACATTAGTCTTTACAAAAATATTTATGTTTTAAGATAATAGAACAAATTTACTATTATTCTTCCATTTATAAATTCATCCTAGAAAAGGAAAATTAATAAATCCAGCAACAACACTTCTTAACAAGATTATCTGTACCTAGCTTTGCCATCACTTTTTATACAACACCCCCACCTCCACCATAAATTGAAAAATAAAAATTGAAATTATATTGAAAGAAAGTGTTTGAAATTTGAATATGTTTATATTTGTATTTTGTAAATAAAAGTAAATAGTCTCAAAATCTATATTCAAACGAAGAATTTTCATATTTGAGAGTACCTCCAAAAATAGCTCAAAGTTAACATATTTCTTACCATAAAAAAGCTATAAACACATAATTTAATATATTGAGTAATTTAAATACATATTACAAGGATTAAACCAATAAGAAGAAGGAAAAAATTATAAAAAGTTTATTTTTACTTTTTAGAAAAACTATTGAGTCCAACCGCCTGTTTTCTCTTCAAACAAAAGGTTATAATATAATTATTATATATTCCTTTTTTATTTACCCAAAAAGAAGACCCACTTGTGATTTTATTTTATTTTTATGAAAAAACAATAAAAAAACAAAATAACAAAAAAAGATCCAGCAAGACCACTTCTTTCAAATTCTCTGTATAATCTTTGCCAGCTCTGCCACCATTACTTCTTTGCACAAAACCCCAACACCCCTTCCCCCCTCTCTCTCTCTCTAGATCACCAGTTTGCATTCTTTCTCTCTCTAAACCTCAAAAAGTTTCAATTTTTCAGCAAATGGACTCTTCAGATGATGAGGGTGAGGAGTATCTTTTCAAGATTGTAATCATTGGTGATTCTGCAGTAGGTAAATCTAATTTGCTTACACGTTATGCAAGAAATGAGTTTAATTTGCATTCAAAAGCAACTATTGGAGTTGAGTTTCAGACCCAAACTCTTGAAATTGATGGAAAAGAAGTTAAAGCTCAGATTTGGGATACTGCTGGACAAGAAAGGTTTAGAGCTGTGACTTCTGCTTATTATCGTGGTGCTTTTGGTGCTCTTGTTGTTTATGATATTTCAAGAAGGACAACTTTTGATAGTATCCCTCGTTGGCTTGATGAACTCAAAAGTATGTATCTTTTTTGCTAAAAGTTCCATTTTTTAATTTTTATAAGTTGGTTTTGGTTTATGTTGAATTCTTATTTGTCATTCAAAGTTTTCACCTTTTTTGGTGGATTGGCTTGAGTTTAGTCTTTTGAGATTTGATGATGTTATGATGGAATGGTAATTCTTAGATTTGAATTCTACATTCTAGTTTATGTTGCTAAAAAAAATACTCTTTTGTTTAGCTTGGTTTTGGTTTATGTTGAATTCCCATCCAAGTTTTATGCATTGTCTTTGGTTTGTATATAGAAAATTCTCACCTTTTTGGTGGATTGGCTGTAAAGCTTAGTTTTTTTTAGATTTGATGGTGTTAGGATAGAATGGTAATTCTTAGATTTGACTTCTATATTCTTGTTTATGTTGCTAGTAGTCTTTTCTTTGTTTAGCTTGGTTTTGGTTTATGTTGAATTCCCATCAAAGTTGTATGCATATCTTTTGCTTTGTGCAAGAAAAGTTTTCACCTTTTTCAAATATGGTGAGGTTTTGGTGGATTGGCTATAAAGTTCAGTTCTTGAGGTTTTGATTATGCTATGATATAATGGTAATTCTTAGATTTGGCATTTGTTGCTAAAATTCTTCTCTTTTTCTAGACTTGGTTTTGTTTTATGTTCATCTAAGCTTTATGCATTGTCTTTTCTTTGTGCACAGAAAGTTCTCAACTTTTTGGTGGATTGGCTGTAAAGTCTATTTTTTTGAGAATTGACGGTGTTATGATAGAATGCTAGTTCTTTAGATTTGACTTCTACGTTATTCGTTTTGTTTATAATTAGTTATTGGATAAATTGACAAGTGAGTCGAGATCTGATTGTTGTATTCGTATGTCTCTGTTTCTACAAAAAAAATTGAACTTAATTTTGGTTCATGTTGAATTCCCACTTTTCAACTTGGTTTTGGCATATGTTGAGTTCCCATCAAAGTATGATACACATATTTTCTTTTTTTCATAAAAGTTCCTCACCTTTTTGAGATTTATTGAGGTTGGTAGTATAAAGTTCAGTTTTTGAGATTTGATGGTGTTATGACATGATGGCAATTCTGGAATTTGACTTCCACATTCTTGGTTCTTGATTATAACTTATAAGTATGTAAGATATCTTGTAGATCCGAAAAGTCTTGGCTACTTTAACTATTTAGGACGATGGAATATGCCATAAGGGTAATTTTAATCGAGTTTTTCTAGAATTGAATAATGGATGTGTTCAATCTATATTTTTTGAATCTTGTTTTGGTTCCGATAACTTTTCTCTTTAACTGAATAATGTAAGATTTTACAGTTGCTATTAAGTCTAATTCAATCATTTTAGTAAAAAATTACTTACCAGACATAGAAACAAATGGCAATGTTAGCTAGAAAAATCTTGAGTCTTGATTATGTATCATTGTTACTTGAAGCAATGGCAAAGAAAGCGGTATATATGCCAATGTAGCTGTTATGCTCAATTTTGTCTAGATGCAGTTGGGAACCTATGATAAGAACGAATTAGACAGACTGTCAATTGGATGTATATTAGGAATTGGAATTCAAGTCATGCTTTTCTTTCTCCGAAAAGCCAATCCAAATGAACTTCTCAACGGATCATACTTATATGGAATCTGTTTTATTTGCTTGATTGTGAAAATAATTAGGACCAACAACCTGGCTTACCTACGTATGGTATTATGGTAGACTAAGGAGTCTCACGGATTGATAAAAAATCTCAGAGATTCTTTTGATGTTAAATGGTGCCATATTTATAACTTAGGTAGTCTCTCTGTTAAGCCCTTAGCTAACTAAGTTTTGGCTGGACGGGAGTGTATATTTGTTGCTTTGAGCCGTGAGCTGCTATGTGATACTTGCATGACCTTATTTTGTTATTCAAATCTGTTCTTGTCTTGCAAATATCATTTGAATCTTGAAAATGAATGACTTTGTGCTCACTGTTTCCAAAATTGAGAACTTTTAGAACTTAATGTCCATAATATAGATCGAGGAGTATTAACTCTTGATCTATCAGAATGAGTGGATCAGATACAAGGCCGTTTGCCCAAGTTCAAGATGTTAGCTTGAGCCCTGACATGGTCCGAGATCCCTATCTTTAAGGCCATTAAAGAACCCAGGGCCAGGGAAATGTGATAAACAGAATGTTAACATTTGCAGCATATATAACCACAAATGAGGTTTGTACTCCACAAGCTTCATTTAATCACGAGATGAAATGAGCAGAGGATTATGTCATCAAAATCAAAGTCAGTGTTAATAAGGTGCATCATTTTGCTTCCTGGTGTGATGGAGACAATGAAGTAGTTAATAGCGACTTAAGGAAATTCAGATACATACTTTTGAAGGAAATATATGTAGTAATATTAAGTTTTACAGACTCTTTATAGGTGCAGGTGCTGTACTTGAACTTTGCATTCACGAGCTTATTTATCACACTTTGCCTTGGAATGATACTCTCTGCTGTCGGGAATCCCAACTTTTATTTATACCGTTATAGTATTAGGTGTGCAAATTACATGTTATGGTGGTGTTCTATATGTTCTTCATACTCCCAATCATAACTGAAATAACCATTTTCATGCAGCTCATTCGGATACAACGGTTGCAAGGATACTGGTGGGAAACAAATGTGACTTGGAGAATATAAGAGCTGTGAGCGTAGAAGAAGGCAAAAGCCTGGCAGAATCAGAAGGGATGTTCTTCATGGAGACATCTGCCCTCGATTCAACAAACGTGAACAAGGCTTTCGAGATTGTGATTCGAGAGATCTATAATAGTGTTAGCAGAAAGGTTTTGAATTCCGATTCTTATAAAGCCGAATTATCTGTCAACAGAGTCAACCTGGTCAACGATGGTACCGATGGATCGAAACAAAAGCAGGGCTACTCTTGTTGTTCTAGGTGATTAATGTTATGTTTCTTGATTCCCCTTAAGTTTTACAAGAATGGTTCATTAAATTATTTTTGCTGGTCATACTGTTTATTGATTTGTTAATGGATAAAGTACTTTTGTAATGGTCAGGAACTTAATATTTATATTCTATATGGCAGCTGAAATGATAAATGTTTATTTTCCCCAATGCAAATCTGTATTCTGTGTTTTGCTTTATGTATTTGTCATTCTTGATTGTTCAATTGTAAATACTATTTCATATTCACTCAGTGTTTTCGAATTTGAGTACATGGAATCACTGTTGTTAGGAAGCGATTTATTTCGATGTGAATGATTTAGTTGTGAATCAGAAGTTGAGTAATAAAAACAATTTGTTTGTTTTTCCGGAGAGCTGATTATAACATGCATTACTGATGCAAATTCTAGAAGAACAAGACAGTATAGTCTGTCAAGGTCAGCTTTTATCAACATCTTCTAGAAACTGAGTAAACGTCATTTTCTCAACAAATTATGTAAAATGATTCCATTCATCCTCACCAACACTGTCAGTTCTAGCAGCATTATGAGAGATTCCCATATTTCAAACTTTGTCAAACAAAAAAGTTATTCCAATCAAGAAAATCCCCACCAACACTCTTGCTCTAGAACATTATGTGAGATTTTCTTGTATTTCAAAGTTGACAAGAAAAGCATTACTTCAAACATAATATGAGAACTTGTGATCAAGCAGTAACTATTTCGATAATTTTAATTAGAGTCTTAAGTTCAAGCTCAGAATATGAAGTTAAGTTCAAGCTCAGACTATGAAGTCGTATTCAATATCGAGCTCCAAAACAGGACTATAGAGAGTAAACCAACTTACAACAAAGGATCTCACCCCACCACTATATCAAATATCCAAGAAGATAGAATCACAGATTCAGAATCAATATTCACTATAAGAAAAAAGAAATAATAATCAACTTTTTGATCATGACCTATCAACATTGAAGAAAAAATAGCATTTTTGATACCTCAATAATTGATGAATAATCATTTTTATTCTTGTGATGTAGTAATGACTCAACATATTTAATCTTCAATTAATTAGAATGCGTGTAACTTTATCCAAGTTTAACATAACATATGTGTAATTAGTAAGTTTTAAGTTTTATGAGTATTCATAAGCAAAGAGATCAAACTTGATCGTTTCAAGTAACTGAATGGTAAATGTTAGATATCACAAGGAAGAAAACTGGAATTTTTCGACAACCAAGGGACGAAATATGCTATTAAATCCCACATTGAAAATAAGAATAAATAACAATAACCTAAACAATTTTCAAATGATAAATCAAGATAAACTTAGCCATTATTTCTTTACCAGGGATATATTTACGAAACGAAAAAAGAAACATAAAAAAGGTGCATTTTGAGGCTAATAGTCTATGTTGCTCGTACTCTCGTAAAATGTTGCCACACCAACGTCGAATCCTCCAAAAGAAATACACTACTTTTGAAGAATTCAACACACACCTGTCGGCAGTTTTTAAAGACTCCGACCAACATAACTTGTATTATTGTTTCAGTTCCATTTCTTCAGTGCCCTGATCTCCAGTATCTAGCATTCTCAAAACCATTCTTGCAATATTGATAATCTTCAAATGTTTGATCAATTTCATCTTGTGAGTTCATCACAAAAGGACCATGTTGAACCACAGGTTCATTAAGAGGTTGTCCACCTAAAAGAACAAATCTTAATGGCTTTGAAGACTTGTTCCATACACTAAGTCCCTCTCCAGGGCCTAAAACCAAGCAATGGTGAGCTGATACAGGACCTGAACTCGGAATTCCGAAGACACCTTCTCCTTCAACTATATATACGAAGGCGTTCCAAGATTCAGGGATGGCTTGATGATAGTAAGCTGTTGGTTGTAGGGTGAAATCGAGGTACATTGTAGGCGTTTGTGTGTAAACCGGGGATTGGACTCCCATTGCTTCACCTGCTATAACTTTTACTTTAACACCATCATTCTCTGCTCTTGGTATGTCTTCTTTCAGCAGTTCTTGATACCTTGGCTCAATCCTGTAGTTGAACTTTGAACTTAATAATAATTGAAAAAGAAAAAGCAATCACATATCAAACGTGTGTTCGCCACAAAGTCTTCGTTTTGGGCTATAAACTTGAACATGGGAAAATATTGGTTCAAACTAAATCTTGATTTTGAGAAGTTAGTCAAAAGTGAATGATTAAGCTTAGCAAAACACAGCAGAAACAGAAAAGTGAATGATTAATCTTTATACTGCATACTAGTAATACTCCTAACCCCCCGCCCCACAATAAAAGTAGGATAAGAGCTAACATTATTTTTTTACTACTATATGCTAGAGCCAAGTACAATAAAGTAGTGGTGTGTAAAGTATCTATATGGGGTCAGTCAAAAGTTGTGTTGCTGGTACTCTTTAAAAATGCCAATAGACACGTGTCAGAATCTCCAAATAATAGTGCATTTATGGAGGATCTGAAACGGGTGTGCCAGCATTTTCAAAGAGTACGAGCAACATAGGTCAAAAGGAGTGATAAGACCGAAAGCTTCTAATGATTAAATGACTAACTTACATTTTGTCCTTAGAAGAGAGATTTATCCAAAGTTGCAACCCCTTTTGACTGCCTTCTCCTGCAGGCATTTCTGAATGAATTATACCTCTTCCTGCTGTCATCCACTGCAATATCATCCAATATAAGAAACATAAATCAGCAACCAAAATATCTCTTCTGTTCTTATAAGCTATGCTGCTTGGATTCTTTAATAACATTGTCGAACGTGTGTCGGATATTCCAAGAGTTATGCATTTTTGGAGAATCCGAACTACATATCTTGTAAGTAAAAATGTTAAGAGCTGAATATTCTATACCTGCACATCACCAGTATTAATTGTGCCCTTGTGACCAGCAAAATCTTGATGAGTAAAAGCTCCCTAAGGAAACGAAAACACAACATTAGCATTATCAACATCTTCTGTGCCCGTTTCACTTTTGAAATTATGAGTTCAGAATTTGATGTGCGTTTATTTTTGTGTTTTGTGTCAAAAATATTGGGTTCAAGTAAACACTACATCTGCCTCAGTACGATTCAATGGATTCAACAAGACATGTCATTTGGCACTTTGCTGCTTATTCTTTGTTGGATGGTTAGGATACCAAGACAAAAGAGCCATCATTATTGGGAGGTTAAAGAGCATCGAACAGGTGTTTGGTCGTGGCACACACACAGCCTTAGGGAACAAGAAAAGGCCTTTCATTTTCCACCCTTCGTCCGCCCTTTCCCTCACTATTATTATATAGGATTGAAGTGTGCAACTAACTGTTTTTACCTGTAGCATGTAAGTTACTGTCTCAAAACCTCTGTGTGGATGATCAGGAAAACCAGCAGGAGCAGAAACTGAAACAATAAAACAGTACTTTATCAACTCTTCTTGGCTCAAAAAATAACTAAGCAAAAATGAACAACATATTCCAGTAAGATGTTCAAAACTTAAGTTGCTCGGACTCTTCAAAAATACGTCATGTGTGTCTCAGATTCTCCAAAAGCTATGTATTTTTGGCTTTTTGGAGAATCCGACACATGTGGAACAATATTTTTGGAGGATCCAAGCAACATTACTCAAAGCAGTACCTGAAAATTCATCCAACATTAGGAAAGGATCAAGATTCCTCAATTCATGCCTGCAGGATCAAATTTTTAAAACAAAATCCCCACATTCAATAAGCAACAAGATTAAAGAAAAAATCACAAACACATACTTTTTTTTTCTTTTTGATATTTGTAGTGTATTGGCGGCTTTTCCGCACCTTAACTAATTACACGAGATATTTATCAACTCGCACTAATAACACAGGTACTAGCTAACTTTATTCGAGACCACGTAAAGACAGAGACTTTACAATATGGAAACCAAGAAAACACATCAAGGTCAAAGTTTCAAAACACAATTTCCTATTAAAGTTACTTCTTTTACTGTCCAAAATGAAAAATACCCAAATGACAAAAAAGTCATAAAATTTAGAAACAAAATTTAAAATCAACAAAAAGAAAATGTGAAAAATATAAAAATCCCAAATTTTATTACCTTCCAATGCTTCTTCTAACAACAGCTCCATTCCCTTCACTTTGAGGTTTAGCCAAAACTTTCTTAATAACCAATCTTGGTCTATCAAAACAAGAATCATATTGATTTGATTCAGACATATTAATATTTCTAATAGGAAAAAAAATAGGCTTTCTTGAAACTTTTTTATTTCTAACAAATGGGAAGATTTTCACTAAAAATAGTTCAGAAATAGCTCTCATATAACCAATTCTTGATTATGAAATATTTGTGTGTATCTTGTAAACTATGAATCCCTATTTATATGAAAATTCTTAGAATATTAAAAATGGGGTTCAAATTGAGGGAACTCTGTAAGTTGAATATTGAAAAAGACAGCTAATTTTTTTTATTGTTATTTTAATTTATTATTTGTATTTTAGTATATGGATATTAATTAATATATGATGATTTCAGTCTTGTGTCATCATGATGGAAGCTTTTTTCCTTTGTGTGAAAAGCCCTTTTGAAAGTCAAATGTATTTGGGAGAATTACTAATTTAGGAAAAAAAATGTCTTTAAAAGCAAAATTTAGTCAGAAATCTTTTTAAACAAAAAGTATTACTATACACTATTTTACATTTCTTCTAAATAATATAGGTCTTATTTCTTTTTTTTTTCTAAATTATTAATATTACCACATGGATTAGGCTTTTATTTACCTGGAAAAAAAAACTAATTTTCAACTAAATATTCAAAAAAGAAAAGTTTTGTTAAAAAAACTCAAAGTAGAAATGTTTGAACTTTATAACACGAAACTTCAAATACTATATATGTATATTAGGAAATGATGTATATGTAAAAAGTCTATAAATTTAAAATGTGATTTTAGTAGCGACTTAAAATCGAGTATATGTGCACTTCCCCCCCAAAAGAAGTATGTATATATGTCTTTTGATCTTATCAAAAAAAATCCGAAATGACTTACTTAAATATGTGTGTGAATACATATTTGTAAATTTCGATCATTATATTATTATAACTATTAATATTTAATTAATATAACGTTCTCAATATTTCACCGATATATAAATAATAAATACACTTGCACTAAAAAATACTCTC